TCAAGGTGGCCCAAATAATTGAAATCATTGAAATAATTGAAATCTTCAATTATTTCGATTATTTAAATAATTCAAATCGGTGGGATTCGTGGCTCAGCCAGAAATCCCACCGATTTCAATTATTTCAATTATTTCGATTCTCGGGGTGGCCCAAATAATTGAAATAATTGAAATCCTAGGGTTCGGTGGGCCGAACCCACCGAACCCCTGGATTTGAATAATTCAAATAATTGAAATACTTGAAATGGGGCCGATTTCAATTATGTCAATTATTTCAATTCTCAAGGTGGCCCAAATAATTGAAATTCTGAATGCTGTTGTACATGTCGTCTTGATCCGGAAACTTCTTGGTTTAAAGCAAAAGGTGCGCCCTGCTTTTCAGGGGTTATGAGCCCAACGCCTACGGGTGTGTAAGAGGCTCCATGGAAGGCTCATCGGCCGAGGATGCGCAGACGGCGGAGCCAGCTGCAGCGCGTGAGACAACTGTCGGTCGCGAAGTGGACCAGGAATCCGAAGGCCGTCGTCATCTTCATGAAGTGCGTATTCAAGAAGCGGTTCTGGAACCAGACAATGCTGAGAGGTCAGGAGAAACGATAGAGGGGCACGGAAGCCAGGGAAGCCACGCTGGGTCTCTTCCTCCTCTGGAGGGAGTGGATCCAGCCTCTGGCGGGCAGCCTCCTCAGACGTTGGCTCCTGACAGCCTTGTGAGTGAAGAGACAGCTGGTCGGGGCAGATCTGCATCGACAGAAAGGCACCTTGAAGATGTTGGCCAGGTGCAGAGATCTTTGAACTTCATGACGGGATTGTTGACCTCACTGACGGTGCGGATGAACAGGGTGGAACAGTGGCAGTCTGCCACGGGTTCCACAGCTGGCGGCGCTGCAAGCACGGCGATGACTCCGGTGACACCGAGCGCTGGTGCCTTGGGATGGGCGGACGTGGATCGCCTCAACCAGCAGCTGGCGGAGCTGCGTGTGGGAACGGAAGCCGAGAGTGGTCCGGGAGTCGTGATGAACCGGCCACTCGCTAGCACTACGAAGATTTTTCAGGGCACCTTCAGCAGTGACAGCAGCGAGACAGCGATGAAGCGCGCGGCTGAGGGACAGCGAGGTGTCCCAGGAGCTTTGATGGGTCCTTTGGCTTTGGCGGATCACCCGTTCACGCTGGAAGGGGACCCTATGCAAGTCGACCAAGCGGGTGATTCCTCTTCAATGGGTTTGGCAATGGAACAGACGGTGGAGTCTGTGATGAAGGCACAGGCCTTGGCGGATGAAGTTCGAATGCGACACGAACCTCCAAGTATGGCCTCGCTTCCTAGAACCACGGAACCTTCAAGTATGCCTTCGCTTCAAGGAACGACTGAACCTTCAAGTATGTCCTCGCTTCAAGGAACGACTGAACCTGCAAGTATGCCTTCGCTCCAAAGAACGACCGAACCCTCAAGTATGCCCTTACCTTCGAGAACAACGGAGCTTCCAAGTATGTCTTCGGTGCCTAGAGCTTTAGCGTCTAGTATGTCTACGCCCCCGGGTATCCCAGAGCCCTACAGTATGTCTATGGTGACTTCTGCAGTGCAACATATGAGTATGCCCCCGCCTCAAAGGACTATGGATGCAGCGGCGATGCAGAGGCCCAGAACCGCGGCGGAACCTCAGAACACCTTGTCGAGCTTGGGGCCTACGGGAACTTTGTATGTGGCCGGGATCCGGGTGTGCAGGCTGTGGCACAATGAGCTTTGGCATGGGCAGCCCTCAACTGCCCGTGGAGGTGATGAGAGGCTGTGAATCAGAAGGGCAGCCCCGTACTGAGGTAGGTGGTTTTGGTGGGGAGTTTGGACGCTACGTGGGGCCAGAGTATGCTGAGTATGCTCAGGGCTCTCCGATAACAGTGGCAGAGCTGGCGGCGCCGATGTCGGAGCTGCCTCTTGGACCGGCCAACCTGGACAGCCCTGGCGCTTTTATTATACGTACTGGTGTTTATGTTGAATTTTGACGCCTTACTTAACGTATCGGGTGGGGGGGGGGGGCGGGACGACGCTTTAATTAACGTACCGTCGAGTTTGTGAGTTAGACTGTTAGACTATGCAAAAAATCCCGGAGTCACTGTATTTTCAGTGACTTTGGTCGGTTTGGGCATGTTTATTAACGAGTTAGACTGTTAGACTATGCAAAAAAATTCCGGAGTCACTGTATTTTCAGTGACTCTGGTCGGTTTGGGCATGTTTATTAACGAGTTAGACTGTTAGACTATGCAAACAAATTCCGGAGTCACTGTATTTTCAGTGACTCTGGTCGGTTTGGGCATGTTTCGTGGTTGCTTGCTTGGCTTCGTCGGTTGGTCGCTCTGCTTGTTTTGGCATGGTTGCTCCCTTGGCTTGGTTGCTTCGCCGGTCGCTTGGTCGAGCTTGGTTGAAGATTGTGAGCTTGGTCGGTCGTGCTTGTGTGAATCTACTATGGATGCTGCTGCTGCTGCTGCAAAGGCTCGAGCAACAGCAAGTGAAGACTTGGTGGGTTGTGTGTTGAAAAAATTATGGATGCGGCGAGCAGGGCTCTCGGTGCATGGTCGCGATGGATGCTCAGGATCCTTTGGCAGCTGGGAAGACACATCCACGACATGAGGCGTTTGACGTTGCAAACGCTGCTTCTTGGTGTGCCAACTCTCAGGCACAGACGTCCGCAGCTGCTTGGTGATGTTCGAAGGCGTGTGCCAGAGCAGGCGGCGGCGGCGGACTCGTCCGATGAAGAGCAGTCCCAGCCTGGGGAGTCGGATGAGGATGTGGACGAGAGGAGGGAAATCGCCTTCCAGAATGCACTTGACGGCTGCGAGGGCCTGTAGGAGCTCATGCGACTGAGCTGCGAAAAACGGTGTTTGCCTTGCCTGTGCAAGTCAACTTGATGGAGCCGAGCACTTTGATTGTGCATTGCACATGCATGGATGGTTTGCATTATGCTGATCCAAGAGATCGAGGCCCAAGTAGAGTCTAGAGTCTGCCTCGGCAGCCTAAATCAAAGAACGTTTTCCTCAAAAACATACTTCATCTGATAACTAAAACCCTTAAACACCTTGACGCCCTAAAACTCAAAAACCTTTAATTCTTCCAAGCCACAACCATTGACGCCATCGAGAACTTCGGCCCTGAGAACATCTTCCAGGACTGCATTCCGATTCTCACAACATTTGTCTTGAAACTCTTGCTGTCTCGCAGGACCTTTGGATGATTGGCGGTTGGACTCCTGAGGACTGCATTCCGGCTCACGTTCATCTTGAAAAGTTTGCTGCCTCGCAGGACCTTTGGACGATTGGTGGCTGGACTGGACTCCTGAGGACTGCATTCCGGTTCACGTTCATTTGAAAAAATTGCTGCCTTGCAGGACCTTTGGATGATCGGTGGTTGGACTCCTGAGGACTGCATGAAGGTTCTAGTTCGTCTTAAAATTATGCAATGTCGCAGGACCTTTGTTGGATCGAAGCAATCGTCCTGGAAGACATCCAATTGGAAGGACCGATGCTTGCTTTTTCGTGCTGTGCTCGATCGGAGAATGGAGCATGGCATGACACTTCATGATGTCCTTATTTGCAGTGATGATCAAGCCATGCATGTCACATGTGATAAACACGAGCACGGTTCTTCATATGGCAGCTTTAGGGTTTAGGGGTTGGGGTTATCACCTCACCATTTCGCAGTTCCATCCTACTACTTAAGGTTTGCACTGCATCTTTGCATTGCATATCTTAGCCTGAGCTTGGCATTCTGTTGCATTGCATGGTGCACTTTCACATATCACAGATCCTAATTCCATTGCCCTCGCCCTCGATCGCTCTCGCCATGCTCCCCATCCAGTCGAGGGCCGAACGGCGCATTTTGCGGCAGCCGCCTGGGCCGAAAGTGCTGGCGGTGCCGGCAGTGCCGGCACCCGTGCAGGATCCATCGCCCGTGTCCTGGTTCCATACGATTATAGGTTATGCATGTTTTGTGGGGTTTCAAGGTTCAGGGATGTAGGCTAATTTAACGATAGGGGGGTTTCAAGGTTCAGGGCTGTATCTAGGATTTTGGGTTGAATCCTAAACCCGAAACCCTACCCTCAGGACTTGCAGATCCCGCCACATGTCGGGGCGATGGTTCCCACGACGCCGCCGATGATCGCGCCGCTCTGCCGCCACACGTGCCGATGACTCCGCCGGCGTGCTTTTTTGGGCGGCGGGTGCCGGGGTTGGTGCTGTCGCCGGGCAACACCCCGCCGGAGGCAGCTCTGAGCGGTCGGTGGGTGTTTCTCGGCGGAATTAAAAACCCCGAACTCCCTAAACGCTCTACCTTAAACCCTAAACCCTAAAGCCTAAACCCTCAGGTTCGAGACGGCGGTTGGTCGCTATGACACCCGTGGCATTCCCTCCCTGGGCCCGGCAGCCTCGGACGCCTCCTGGACCACCGCCGCCGACGCCTCCATCGTGGCTTGTCTCTGAAGTCTACTTTACATAAAAAACAAACAAAACAACACCAAAAAAATAAGGACACCCAATGTCATCATCATTTCGCCTTCGGGGACGTCGCCGGCCCTGCTGCCCATGGAGAGCATCAACGAGATCCTGCCGCTCCTTGTCGCCAACCCGAACCCAACACAATACAAAGCCGAAAACTTTCAAAGCAACGAATAATTCTCTAAAGCCAGGATGGCCCACGGCACTCCGGATCAGCTGCACTTCGACAACACGGGGCCTGACTAGATCCTTGTTTCAAACCTTTCACCCTCCAAACTCCAAACCCTGAAAACCTTAAACTAAGCCCGAACTAAACCCAATGCAACCGAGGCAGCAGCTCCCGATGGCCCCTGCAACTTCGCGATCGCCCTCGATCTCGGCCTCGGCGATGGCCCCTCCAACTTCGCGATCGCCCTCGATTTCGGCCCCCGCACGGGGAGCCGCATTGATGTCGCCGGCGACAGCACAGATCCTTGCCACCCAAAACCAAACCCTAAACTCTCAACCTTAAACCCAATACCCAAAACCCTAAACCCTGAACTCTAAACTCTAAACCTTAAACCCAAAACCCAAAACCCTAAACAAAACCCTAAACCCTGAACTCTGAACTTTAAACCTTAAACCCAAAACCCTCGCGCTTGTCAGGTATGCTGGCTGCGATTGGCCGTGGGAGGGCCTTGGCTTGCAAGCCCACCCACAGAAAGACATGAGAGTGAGAGCACTTGCAATCGGGCTCAAGGCTGCTCGATGTGGGGGGAGTCCAATCTTTCAAAACCTCCATACGACGACGTGTGCAGTAGCAGTCTTCATCATTCCAAATCTGAATCGCGTGTGTTTCTTGATCTTCTTATCTGCTCTCCCGCAGAGCGTGCCAAAAAGCGACTCGCTCGGCCCGCATCCGCGGGTTATGAGCCCATTAAGCTGTTAGACGGCTTCGGGCACATCGTTAGAGTATCCTGAGATTGCGCGCCATGGCATCGCCAGAGTCTGAAACAGATCAGCCTAGAGCGTCTGAACAGTCAACTAGTCCGCATTGGGGTGAATCCGTGACAGCTGCATTCGAGGCTGCGCAGCAAGAGAGTGCTGAGGATCGTGTTTTGCTTAATGTACCAGACATGCAAGAGGATGTTCTGGAACCTGCATACTTCGATCCTCAGTCACAGGTGTTCTTAGATCCAGAGGAACACGCGGAAGCGCAGCAAGAAACTGCTGCAGGAGGCAACCTTGCAATGCAGGGTTTGGCTGAGGCGCTTTTGGGGATTGATCGTGACGCTGGGGTGGATGGTCGTGAAGCGGTTCGTCGCATAGAACCCTCTCCAAGAAGGGCTGGAGAGACCGACTGTAGTAACAGGCACCAGGATGATCAGGAGTTGGTGCCGGATTACTCTGCTGAGCTCCCTCGCGCAAGCCGGGGAAGTCAGGACGAGATGCAGGTGGAGCAACAAGGACATGTGCTGCACGCTGCAATGCAGCAGGACATTATGGTACAGATGACGACAATGATGCGGGATCTGTTGGCAAACCAGCTGGCGCCGGCAATTCAAGGCCTAGCTTCAGCTCAACAGGATTTGGCAATGAGACTCGAGAGAGTGGAACGCAAAGAAATGAGTGGAGAGACTTCGGTAGGAGTAGGAACCGATTTGCAGCAAGGTAGGCCTAGAGAAGTTTCACCGACTCATGTGCGTCAGGACCCAGCTACCGCAAGGTCAAAGCGCTGAGAGTCCTAAGAGTGTGTTTAATCCCCGGGCAAACTCGCCATTCACTCCCACTCGTCGCCACGCGCTGCCGCTACCAGTGTAGGACCTTGTGAGTCGCTGAAAGAACGTCGAGAGACCAGTGACACAGTGTTGAGTGACACGGGCTTGGTTAGTACTGTTGAGAAAAGGGTGAGGGTTTCTGTTGAAAGTGAGGCACCCTCCGGGGAACGCCGTCGTGATGCAACATCTCCTGTCCCTATAGTGAAACCGAGAATCGTGTACCCAAAGAGCCCAGGTGGAACAGAAATCAAACCACCGCCGTTGCCAGCGGAAGTGTCGAGTGCATCGAGTGCGGTAGGACGGTTGCCTGCTCAACCTGCTTTCTCAAAACCGCCTTTCCCGTGGGGTCTTGGATTCGGAGGTTATGGCTTGGGGTCTGAAAGTTGGCAGTCGCAGGAAGTGCCGAGCGTAGGACCAAGCACTGTGTACCCCAACATTCCCACATGGCCGATGACTCCGATTCCCCCTCCACCAAACCTCCCCAGCTCGTTGTCTTCAGGCCCGACGCCGCAAAGTGTGGAGGTACTGACGAAGTGGACTCATGAAGAGCCCGAAGAACCCATTCGCTACACACCCACCATCCCGAAGCTTCCATCTCATGATCCCAAAAACGCGGCTATACAAGCCGGAGACTGGCTTGCATCGCTGGGACCAGTGATGAGTTCGTTGAGTGCCAGGGCAGCCACTTGGTGGAATGATAGTCTGGACTGTGCTGAGAGAAGTTACCAGGTCTGGGTTAAATCCTCTCCGCTGGATCGCATCCGCATGCCGGTTGACGACTTTCAGCATCGTTATGTTGCAGGGAGGTACAGTAGAGTTGAGCAGAAGGCCGTCACTCTGCTGTTAGAAGCGGTTACTAGCGAGATCAGAGAGGACATCATCTCAAACCGCCTCTTGAATACCCCCGCAGTTCTTCTGAAAGTCATGACGAAATATCAGCCCGGACGTTCTGGAGAAAGAGCTCAGCTCTTAGCGTTCTTGACGTCACCCCAAACCCCTGACGGCCCGGTAGCTGCTGTGAGACTCATCCGTCAATGGAAAAGATGGTTAACTCGTGCACGCGAGATCCAAGTCACTCCTCCTGATTGCACCCTTCAGGCTCGCGCTCTTGAGTTGCTCACTCCCAAAACGGGGCTTTCATCTACTGCAGCATTTCGGATTCAAACGATGAAAACCCAGCTTCTGATTGATCAGGCCCCTTCGCAAGGTTCAGTGCTTCAGCTTGCGGAGTTGTTGTTAGCTGAGTGTGAGTCTGCTAGCATCGGCGATGGCAGTTCAGACAAGAAAGCCAGTTTGAAGAAGGTTGAGGGTGGAGAGCGAGAGGGACAGCCGAGCGGAGGCAAGGCGGATGGAAAAGGTAAGGATCAGTCCAAAGGGCAGGCGGGAGGAGGTAAGGGAGGGAAGGATTTGAAACCATGTGTTCATTGGCTAAAGGATCAGGGGTGTTTGTATGGAAAGGCCTGTAGATTTGCTCACGATCAAGAGGCACTGAAAAAGGCTCCGGATGCGAAGAAACGGTGTTTTACTTGTTCGGGTTTGGGACACTTCGGCGACAAGTGCCCTACGGCACATGGGAAGCCGAGGGAAGTTCCTAAAGCAGAC